TGTTCATCATATTACTAGTAGATATAAATGCTGAGAATGTATATCCTTGGAAATAACGTTACTCTAATATGAAACGTCATAGAGTCGAATGTTTTGTTCATCATATTACTAGTAGATATAAATGCTGAGCATGTATATACATGGAAATAACGTTACTCTAATATGAAACGTCATAGAGTCTAATGTTTTGTTCATCATATTACTAGTAGATATAAATGCTGAGAATGTATATACTTGGAAATAACGTTACTCTAATATGAAACGTCATAGAGTCGAATGTTTTGTTCATCATATTACTAGTAGATATAAATGCTGAGGAATGTATATACTTGGAAATAACGTTACTCTAATATGAAACGTCATAGAGTCGAATGTTTTGTTCATCATATTACTAGTAGATTCTTTATAAATACCAGATGCAAAAGAATACCCTGTATAAAACACACAGAAAAGTGTTATTCATAACTTTACCATGAGCAGTGCAGGTAAGTCAGCTAAGCCTTATATCTACAGAAGCACTAGGCCAATAAAATGGCGATTTGAAACCAGTAATTCATCCAGTCAGATTCTTTACAGTAAATGACTTGTTGGCAATAAATTCGACCAATGAACGGACAGCACACGATTCACATAATTTATCAAACTGGAAAGCATATTCAATGGATAATTTATACAATATCCAAACCAAAATTCTTGGGAACTTTAAAGGTAGATTATGGTAATGTAAACATAAACCTACTTATCATTTAAGCTCTTTTGAAATGGTTTGAAAAATACAAGTTGAAGCTATTACGTTTTCCTCTTGATGTCACGAATGTAGTCAACGGGACGTGGTCGATGATACGTTGTTTTGTAGACAATGTTTTTAACAATGTAAAATGTATTAAGGCATGTCATCTTTTAATTATTTTTCACACTTGCCAGTTAATAATTGAAGGATTTTGTAACATTAGTTCCAAGTTTTTGTGCAACACAAATTTTCAGACCAGACTTATTACTTATTTACATAGGGCACAGTCTCTGAGTAACAACCCATTCGTTTGTCGTGTTTTATCCATATCAACGTGGTGAAATCGAGGAGTTTAATTGTCTCACACAATTTATAGCCTTGTGTCCTATATTAGATTGAAGCAACCGTTTTCCCGAAAATAAAAAGATAATTTAAGATCCCGGTCAACGAGAAACCCACTCTTGGGGTTGCCGTGCGCACTTTTTTCCAAAAAGTATTAAAATTAACGGGGAAAATGCGCAATAGGTGCGGAAAGGCGAGAGTAGCTTTCAGAATTAAAAAATCCTTTCTGGTCGTGAGGAAGTAGGCAAAGACGATCAGTTACCTACTGACTTTCCTGAAAATCAAAAGAAAGATTCAGAATGCTTTGATTTTAGTCCAATTATGTTATTAATCAATTTTAATGTATAATTAGTGAGAATAAACATGTTTTTAGTTTTCTTTTAGTACACATTCTCTCGATTAGCTCCCTTCGTCTGCTCATCCTTTTGAACTTTGGAGGATAACATGTTGTACATATAACTGTACGATGTAAACGCATTTCACAACTTCCTTTCTTTCTGTATGCTCTTCACATGGTCCTGGCCTTCTCGTAACTTCGGTCATAATTGCACCGCGCAAAAATGCGAAACTGATTTTGGAACAGCTGAATTTTTTACATACGGCATGTTATCCACTTTTTATTTTTGGCATTTTTTACGCGCGAAAAAATATTCTACAATTTATTTACGGCAAAGAAACTGTAATTTTGGGTGGGTTTCTGAATGACTGGGATCTTAATTTATAAAAAGGTGACATTCAAAAAATGTTTAGAGGATTTAGGCCTCCAGTGGCCCAGCGGTAAGTATAAGGGGCTATAATGCTAAATACAGAGAGCCCTATTCTACATATGTACCCTAAATTAATGTTGATTAATATACACTGCTTCATGGTTTTCGCTCACTGTTTTAGGATGTTTACTCTTAACACTGTAAGAGTTTTCAATTTAACTTCACCATATCCATTCACATTTCA